AGTCTTAACAGTCTTCTGGAAGGCAAGGAGGGTAGGGGGTCTACTGGGACTACTGTAGTTGTTGACGAGACAACACAGAGAAAACAAGTTTTCTTCTTTTCTTGAAATCTTGTCAAGCTATGACCTGCAGCATCCTTCAGAGGGCTAGAATTTTGCTGTGAATTTATGCGTTTTTGTACCAACTGTATCAAGATATCTATCAGTTTATTCAGGCCTCCACAGAAGCAAGCCTCATTTGGTTTCATATGACTTGTTCCTAGGAGAAAAATATATCCAGAGGGAAGTTGTAGGGAAGAGAACGACCCAAAATGGACAGGTGTATTTTTGGTATAGAAACACTCAATTCTTCATGATAGCATCCTTTTTGTCTTAGGCAGATGGATTAGCAGTTGTCATAGAGATAATGGCTTATTTGTTCTACAATAAGTGGAATCAGGCAGTAACAATAAAAATATATAACAAGTCACACTATTTTATACACACTGTTGGAAATTAAGAAGCCCCCTTCCCTCTTAGCATAGTATCTCATTACCCATTTTGTGATAACGTATTTCCTTTTTTAATATTGCAACTGTGAAAATAGGCGATTATGCTGTATATCTCACAATCCTCAGTCTACTATGTCTTCTTTGCACTGTGATTACCCTACATATTGACTAAGTTGTCATATACACTAGATTGTATTGAGAACAGTAGTGTCTCCATCAGTGTCAGCTCGTGAAGGCAAAAATATAATGTGAACTTAGAGGAACATGATTTGCGAGGAAGTGACTGTTGGCCCTTTATGTTAGCCCTTTATGCAATTGGCAATGCGATGAAGTGTATAACCCTTTCATTGAAGGATGCTTAATCTGCAGTAAGCATTGTCCTTCCTAGAAAAGCTCTAAGCTTGCCCTACTAAATAGGAGGCAGGCTGCACATTTATAGTAATGTCTGTTAGTTCCCCTAGAAAAAAATACACATAACTGCCAGTCAATCTCTCTCAGCCCTAGGAAGAAGCCAATGGCAAACCACTCCCAAAATGTTGCCAAGAAACAACATGGTTATTCAAAACTGGAAGAGAAATTTCATCCCCAGCACTGTATAGGAACAGCAGGGAGGTCTGTTTAAACTCATGCCCTCCAGGGTTTATTCTCATAATGCTAAAACTATGTACTGTATGATCATAATATCAAAACAATATCATGAGTTCTCTCATCATTTCTAGCCTTCTAATGAACACAATCCTCATGGTGAGTTTATTTTCAGCTCACTTAGAAATAGATTTCCCCCCCAATGCTTTGACAAATATGAATTGAAATGCACATCAATATGTGTCTTATGGGTGAATGAACAATATTGCACATGCTTCAGACAACATTTTATTTTTTTAGCAATGTGATAATTTCAGTACATGTTTCCCTCACATTATGTGGATTTGCTATTATGCAATTGATAATTTTTGGCCAAGAATTGACTATGTGAAAAATAAAAATAAAAAATTGCTATTATGAGATTTGTGCCAGCAAAGTCAATTTGCGCCAAAGGCCTAGAAACATACCAAGATTTCTTCCTGCCAAAAGGGCTTGAACATTTTTCTGCCAAAACTCCTATCTGCCCTTACACATTTACCATTGTGTTGTGTACTACAATTACTATGGGGTCAAATTAAAATATTCAATCCCTTTGCCTAAAATGAAAACTTCTAACACTAGAAACAAAGTTGGATGTATTACATCATGCTGAAGTTGGTGAAGGACTCTCAGCCTGAGGACGAGCTTTTAATCTGGGTAAATCTATTGTGTACAACATAGATCAGAATACTAATAAAATTTGTAGTGCCATGTTTCATTCTACCTCTTTGTCTGCCATGACAATTCAGCTATAGAAAAGATGGAGAAAAGTACCTTTGCTGTACCCAGAACATGAGACAAGGGAGAAAAAAATGAGTAATCTAGTGCTTGAGAATAAGGGTCTAAAAATTTATGAGCACATTTATTAACTATAGACAGAAACAGATTTTTGCATTGCTATTATACACAGCAAAAAAGTAATGTGATTTAATTATTCTATCTCAAGCAACTCATACAACTGAGATTATATGTATTTCTGCATTTTAAAAAAATAATTAACACAAATTAAAGCAAAGTTATTATAATTTCTGCTAGAATTATTATTTAAATTTAACACTTTTATTACACCATCCTATTGTGTGTAGGTGTCTAGGTGAATATTATAGTAATTTTGAGAATGAATAAGGTAAGCCACCCACAGACCAAAGATGTGTTTAATTAATATTGGGTGGTCTTATGACATTGATTTAATGGGACAATCAGGCAATAAATTGCTAAAGTGAAACAGGAAATTTTACTGACATTTTCACTAGATATTATCTATTACTTTGGGTGTGAAACTATAATTAAATAAAATAATTAATAAATCTATCTCCATATCACGATTAGCACATTAGTAGAAAGAAGCATAGCTTAGGGGAGCATTGAAAGTTCTCTTTAATAGTTATACAAAGGATGTAATTGCTACATGCTGATAGCATAAAATGCATTGTCTTATGTATAGTTATGTACATTATGAAATATCTTTTGCTGGCCCATGCACTGTATGTACAGAAACCAAAGCCAATAGACAGGAGCTAATGCAGCTTGTCACAGAACAACTATGAAAGCAGGAAAACCTCTATTCTTCACTGTGACAAGGAATATTTTCTAAAATAAAACTATAAGCACTCCTACCTCTGGGACAGGATGTTACATTACAGATCCCAAACTAAATCTGCTGAACAGGATTCACACCAGAACCTGAAGCTCTCCCACTCTATGAAAAGATTTGCTGGTGGACGAAAGGAAACACTTTCAGAAGTGTCCTCCTCGAAGTATCAGATATCTCTGATACCTTCTTTGGGGGGGGGGGGACTTTGAATGTTCTGAATCAAAACTCTCTTGCCACTAATATTATCTAGGAAAAAAATAACAGAATGCAGAACTCTGGAGCTATTTCAGCTATTATTCCATTCTTGACCCACCTTGGATTTTTTCTGAAATTTATTCATTTATATAACAAATGTATATGGCCGCCCATCTCACTGAATGTGATTCTTGGCAGCATACACCCAACAATTAAAATAATATCACAACTGTTAAAACACTAAACAAATAAATAAAAACAAGATTGCCAGAGAAGAACTTCCATCTAAACACAGTACAACCGTTGCACAGGCTCCCCGTGGGATCTCCAAAGTTGCTGGAAATTGGGATTTGGCATCTCGTCCATTATGGATTGATCCCTCACCATCCTTTATCCAAGACTGAATTCATTATGCCAAAGCAAAGTACAACTAGACTTTTAAAGATTTAGAGCTTTGCTCTCTCCTATGTCTAATACAAATAATACATGGAACAAGAGGCAGTGTGATGTAATGATTGAACCATTGAATTGGTATTGGGAAGACCCATGTTCTATTCCACCCTTAGCTACTGAAATTCACTGGGTGACTTTGTGCCAGTTACTCTCTTTCGGCCCAGTCTACCTAACAGGGTTCTTGCTGCGGAGGAAAAAATAGGTGGAAAGAGCCTTATGTATGCCTTGAGCTCCTGAATGAAAAAGTGCAATATAAATCTGATAAACAAATGTGAGTCCATTATGAAGAACTATCTTCCCCACTGCTTTATTGCTCTCCAGCTGTGGTAAAGACCAGAAAACAACAATACCACAATATGCATTGTTTGTAATCACTGTCAAAGAGTAAAGCAAGTGACCATCCCTTTGAACCTGTTCTAAATCTACTTTTGAAAATCAATGTTCTGTTCAAGTTTCATCTGGATAATCATGTTGGAAGGAACATAACTTTTCTTGTTGAGGTGATTCTTTGGGATTTATAAAGTGAACTGACACTCTTCTTCCACAGCATTTTCTGTGGAGCATCATAATAAAA